CAGCAAATTTAGGAGTACGTTATTTAGATAAATTAGAAAAAGTTGTTGATTATACAGCTACATGTAGAGTTTTAGAATTAATTTGGGTGGCTGTAAGTATTGCGATATGTAAATATTTAAATAGAAATAACAAAACTATGAAAGATATTAAGGATAATGGTAATAATGTATTAAAAGTATGGTACTATTATTTTTGTTGGGCTGGATATTGGATTGGTCATAAAATCGGAATAAGAAGAGGAAATTATGATATGCAATTTAAAAATTTAGCAGCATTTTCGCCACTTTTTCCAGTTGCTGGTAAAAGTAATTATGCAAGATCTGTAACTTATTTTTTATCAAATGTTAATGATGATCCAACTTTACAAAAATTACTTCAATATGTATGTTCAGTTAATCTTACTCGTCCAGGACATTATTTTGCATTTGATGAAGCATTAGAACGATTTGGTGTTAAATTTGTAAAACAAAATATTGGTGGAAATCGAATGGATATTGATAATTTAAAATCACAAATATCATCAGTACAAACTGAAAGAGAAAGACTTACATTATTATTGTCAGAATATGTTGGAGATTCAATTTTAATTAAAGAAGAACGGGCTATAAAATCAAGAAAAGAGTCATTATGGAAACTTGCTGAAGATTTATTAGAAGCATTTAATTTACCAGATTCTTTAAATCATGAATTATTTAAAAATACAAAAGAAATGAATGAAGGAGGTTTTAAACGTTTATTTACTTGTTATAATCAAGGTATTGAAAGACTTAAAGTAATACAACGTCAAGATGTTTATAAAATAGAAATTCGAAATGTAAAAGGTCGTCGTATTCGTAATATAATAGCATATAAATCTCAAAATTTACAAATTGAAAAATCAAAAGAAAAAACAAGTAATAAAAAAACAAATGAAAATTTAAGTAAAGAAGAAGTAAGTCATGAAAAACGAACTTATAGAAAAACAAGTGAAAATGAAAAGAAAATACTTGAAAAGATACTTAATTATAATACTTTTCCCGAAAATGAAGCTTTTAACATACTTAATCAACTTCAATCTGAAAGTATAGGATGGGATTTAAATCGTGTTAAAATATATTGGAAAAATAATCATATAAAAAAAAATAATTAATTATTTATATATTTTATCTTTTTTTATTTGTAATAAATTATTATTCAATAAATTATAATTTCTTATTAATTTTATAATTTTATATGGTATTCATTTTCTAAAAAAAAAAAAAAAAAAAAAAAAAAAAAAAACAGAGGTAAAAAATTTTTTCTGGGAGGTATGAATACCCCCCAGACCCCTCATTCAGACACTCAAAGTTAATGCTTAAATCTATACTATAATTATAAAATAAATTATTTATTTGTTATATTACAATGATTTTTATCTAATATCTTAAAATAATAATACAAATAAAATTTTAATATTAATCTTTTTCATTATCGTTATTGTTATATAAAAAACTGCTAAAATCATTAAATTATAATACAAAATTAACTTTGAACTTTAAATATTATATGTACGATTTTGATATTTATTGATAATATGTAAATTTATTAGCGCTACAACTTTAATTAGTAATAAATTATAGGTTTAGAAGACCAATTTTGTCTTGTATATAGAAAAACTGCTAAAATTATTAAATTGGAACACAAAAATTAATTTTGAACTTTAAATATTATATGTTCGATTTTGATATTTATCAATAATATGTAAACTTATTAGCGCTACAACTTTAATTAGTAACAAATTATAGGTTTAAAAGGCCAATTTTGTCTTGTATATAGAATAACTGCTAAATTACTTTATCGCAAAAAAAAAATATTTTAATATTTTAATTTAAAGATCCTTTAAAACTATCGCTTGTATAATATTAAATTAATTAATTTTGAAAAATAAAGGACTTAATTATTATAATATTAAAATATTAAAAATATATCTCTGTTAAAATGTAATCTTAATATATATTAATTAAAAAATAAAATTTAATATTTAATATTTTTTATTATAAAAAACAATTTAGCATTTTTTTAAAATATATTATTTAGCTATCTAATGATTAGATTTTAATGATTTTTGATTTATTAGATTTATCTCATTATATTAAATCAAATTTAAAATGCTCATATTATTTATAATATTATTTATTAAGATATAATAATTTAAATACTGTTTATATTATCTTATAATTTAATAATTAAAAAATAAATAATTTTAAGGTTATTATATACTCCTTAATAAGACGAATTTTATGGTTTTTATTTCATAAAAATTGAAGCATTATTGACTAAGATATATCAATTT